AACTGCCACTTAATCGACCAGTCATGGAGTAGATCGAGCGTAGTTTGTAATCTGTCGGCGTCTTCAAGGCTGGATACTTCCATCCATAGCTTTAGGTCGTCAGCGTAGATTAGGCAATCCGTCTGAAGAGTGGATGGCAAGTCGTTGATGAAGATATTGAAAAGTACGGGACCGAGGACAGAGCCCTGTGGGACCCCACTCGTCATGAGAACAGGAGCAGAAAATGTGTCATTCACCTTCACTTACATAGAGCGGTCGTTTAGGAAATCGGAGATCCAAGACAGGAGGTTCCCAGAAATACCGATTCCTAGGAGCTTAAACAGGGGCCGTTCATGCGGGACTTTGTCAAAAGCTTTGCCGAAGTCAACAAACACAACGTCCAAGCGTTTGCCGGAGTCTAGCGACCTTGCCCAGCTCTCCTTAGTAACGGGCAAGTTCGAGGTACAGGAGCGTGCTTTTCGGAACCCATGCTTGGCATAAGAAATGACATTCTGTCCCCCAAGATAAAGAGTAACAGCTTGTTTTAGGATCCGTTCCATAACTTTACACACTATTGACGTCAAACAGATTGGACGATAATTGGCCGGATCATGTCGACTTCCTCCTTTGTAGATGGGTTTGACGATACCTACTTTCCAAGCTGAAGGAATACGGCCAGCTTTTAGTGAGCAACGAAAGACTTGACATATGGGTGAAGCTATGTACTCCGCCACAGTCCTGAAGAACAAAGGATGCAATCCATCTGGGTCGGGTGAGCTATACGCATCTAACTGAAGAAGAAGTTTCATCACAGAATCAGTGTTAATATCTACTTGGGCCAACGAAGATGAAAAGATGGATACGGCTCTGTCACTAAATGGTGTTTCTTTCGCGTAAACAGGAGCGTATTGCTTAGCCAAGTGGCTAGCTTTCTCAGCGTCCTCGTGAAGTAAAGCTTGATGATCACAAGAACACAAAGCAGGGATGCCATTACCAGCTCTAGTGCTCCTTTTCAAATAAGAGTAGAGCATTTTAGGCGCGATTCTGGAGTGTTTTGCCAAGGATAGTTCGTATTGTTGGCGTTTCTGGCGCTTCATTGCGACACAAACCTTTCTGACAGTCTTGTAGTGAGAGAAGTCGAGTTCTGAATGAGATTGACTAAAGCGGTCTCATAATTTGCGCCTTCTATTCATAGTTGACCTCAACTCTCGATCCATCCAAGGTGGACCTCTAGCGAAGGGCTTTCGATGGGAGGAAGGAACGACCTGCTCAATTAACGACGTCATTTTGGAGAGTACAAGATTCCACGCGTCCTCGAGGTGAATGTGTTCAGGGATACCCCAATCCGTAGCGCTTGCGGCCGTTTTCAGACGGAGTGGGTCAGCACGCCAAAAATTCCGACGGTGACCACCGTGGCTATGGATCGTGAGACGGCGAGTCCAGTGGAATGAAACAACACAATGATCGCTCTTGCATATGGGTTGAAGAACCGTTAGATTCGTGACATCCGAATCTGCCGGGGAGAGCACGAGATCGAGGATATGCGGGGTCTGGTCTGGGAAAATACGAGTAGGCGTCAAGATATGTTGAACGAGGCTGCAGTCGAGAGTGGTTTTAAGCAATGTGGCATCGAAGGAGTCAGATCGGCGATCACAAAGAAGTAGGTCCCAATCGATATCCAGTGCATTGAAATCCCCCAAGATTAGACAGTGTTTGTGCCCACCATACATCCTTATCGAGCCCAACAAGCGCGCTCCGGGACCCAATGGCGCTCTGTAGACGACACCGACCAAGAGAGACCTGCATCCGTCATGAACACAGCACCAGAGGGCTTCGAAATTGTCATCCTGGTCATTGATAACTTCAACTAAATGTACTTTGAGATGTCTTCCAGTAGGGAATTACTCCACCACCTGACCTCACCCCGTGGCGATCGGACCGGGAGTGGTGATATCCAGGGATAGACACTTCCGAGTCCGTGATATCTGAGAATAGCCAGGTTTCGGTGAAGGCCATCAGGTCTGGACGAGTCTCCGAAGTAAGCAACAGAATTTCGTCCAGTTTATTCCTTAGACTGCGTACATTGGCAGATCGCATGCGTAGTCCGTTTTTATGCTTTACTGTCTGTGGGTGACACGAATCGGCCTCCAGCGCACTCTTGTGCTCTTCCGAACTACGCAAAAATCCACGATATGTAGGTCGGTTTCACCACTCGCCCGGCGCATTCGGAGCTCCTCTACAGCCTTCTTCATTTTAATTCGGTCCTCGGGAGAAAAGTCTCGTAGCACGTAGAAAGATTCGCCTTTGAGACGTGGAGTCCGTCGAAGGATGCGCATGCACTCTTCTTCGTTTCCGCATACAATCCTGAGGGGTCGAACCTTGGAGGAGTTTTCCTGCTTCTTACCGAGACGGAAGGCAGAGACAATGTTTATTCCCTGTTCGCCTGCATCAAACAGTAGAGAAATCATCCGCTCGAACAGTATTTGATCATCCAACATTCGCTCCGCCGAGGTAGCCTTGTCCGATTCCGCCGCGTTCACGATGATGAGACAGCGGTCACGAGATGGCTGAATGCGCTCTGGAATTGGTGGCTTACGGGATGATGGATTTTCCTTTATCACTTTTTCCAGCTCAGAAATTCTGTTGAGAATTATCTTCATTTGTGACTGAGAAGATGGAAGCTCAGGTTTATTCAAAGACTTAGTCTTAGTCTTGGTGACACATGTGGTTGGACCTTGGCCACACGAGATCAAGGTCACTTTTTCCTTCACTACGTCCGCATATGATTTCGTCGTAGGCTCAACAGGCCGAATGTGTATTAATGGGTCCGAGTGAGAAGTAGACGGAGCAGGGGTCGCCGCGACTTTTAGAGCGTCGCTAGAAAATGTGTTGCTGCGCTTCCTGGCACGTCTAGCAGAAGAAGCGGAAGAACGTCTTTCAGGATGTTGATGTGGCGGACGTCTTGCCCACGCAGCAGCATCGATGCAATACCGACAAATCCATAGCAAACCCTTGTGCTCAGCATAGGTCTTGAAGAGCGGTTCAGTAAGTTGCGAGCAACGCTTTTGGCCACATGCCCAGAGTTTGCAGGCAATGCACTGGATACCCTTAGTCACCACTTTCGCACAATGCAAACATTGTGAGTTAGACATAATCACTTGATCTCAGAGGAAAATTTGACAGTGATTAAATTTTGTCACGAGTGTTTCGCCAAACACTGGGCTTCGCGATAAGTTCACCTAAAAAGCTCGATCAGTATGGCACGCCAAAAAATCGAGTTACCGTGTAGCATTCACAGAGAGAAGACGATTGGTAATCTTTCGCTCATGTCCAGCTAAAGGAACTGTGTGCCTCGTATTGTTGTCGCAACGATGGACAATTCCTTGGGTGCCTGTCACCGTACCTGTGGCAATCTCGGGAAACAAAGGCAACGAACAGAGACAGCCACACAGACAGACGAAAGGAATGCATCTGGAACGCAGTCGATCAATTGCAATGATGACTGAACCATTGTACCCCTATACAGTTAATTGTTATTTAAATATCGCATATGCACATGCATCATAAGTGGCGAAATACGACGAGAAGCGAGCAGGACACGGATCAGTAGAGAATGAAAGATTGTTCCAAATTAGGAATGAAGCTGAAGCAAAGTGAGTTTGAGGGGTCCTAATGTGCATATGTCCAATCTGTGGGAGGCAGAGAGAGGAGGACGAGGTGTGCAGATTATGGGAAAGAATATCACACAGAAGAAGCGACAGGGACGCGTTGCCTCAGTCCTAAATTGGTGGGAATGTAAGAAGTCAGGGAGGACAAACGCATGTAAGTTAGCGTCGAATGAAGAAGGGATGCAACAGAAAGCACAGGAATGAAAAAAAGGGTCGGTAAAACAGGTTCTATTGAGAAGTGGAAAAGCCGACGACGTTCTTCGGGTGATGACTCATCCTTGTTAATAAAAAGAAGGATGAATAATGTCCAGCGATGTAATTGAGGTAAGGGTGGCAGAGCGTTGCGCCGGAATAGGTAGATGGTATGGCGATCAAAGCACAAAGAATGAGGGGCACCGAGTGTTGGGACTACAGAGTCTAAACCATTTATGTCTCGGATGTCTGGAAGAAATCAGAAAGAAGGAGACTGGGCAGACGAGGATAGGTTAGAGCCAAGCCTGAAAAGTTCTCCGTCCAATTGAAAAAGGAATGTAAACAGAGGGCGCGAAAATCAAAAGAGTGAGGTCTGGAAGGAAAGGAATCTATTGGGGTGAAGTGGAATAGCCTACAATGGTCTCGAGGTGTTGTGAACAGACCATTGGATCTGTCGATGAGTCATCGGTAAGGTCTCAGCAGTCAGAAAGGAGACCATTGAGACAAGACTAAAATGTCGGCTCATAGAGAGAAAGCAATATTATTATTGCCGGAATGCTAACAGAGATAGTCAGCAGAAATAGACATGTTAAGCTTGTAAGGGCAATAGAATAAAAACGATAATGAAAGATGAAAGGAGGATATAATAATAAGGATGAATCATGACCAACAATGCTTTTGAGGTGAGGGTTACAGGGCGTTACGTCGGCAGAGCCTATATCATTTAGATCTCAGAAGTCCGAGGTGGGTCAGAAAGCAGGGGACCGGTCAGACGAGACCGGATAAACCAGCAAGATGAAGTTAGGTAGCCAAATTAAGGTGTGAACACTTGGCCGAAGCCGTTGATTGCGGGAAGGCAGTGGACTTGCTGTTCATTGACTTTTCCAAAGCATTTGACACCGTTCCACATTCGCACCTTTTGTACAAGCTGAATTTCTACGGTATTTCTGGACCAGTCTTACGATGGATTTCAACTTTCCTAATCGGAAGGGAAATGTGTGTGCGGGTGGGTTCAAGCCTGTCCTTCCGCCAATGTATTCTCAGTGGCGTTCCGCAAGGTTCGGTTCTTGGCCCCCTTCTCTTCACTTTATACGTTGATGACCTACCTGATGAATTGGGTGTGCTATCCCTAATGTTTGCGAATGACTTGAAACTCTGGTTCACTGACCCTACAGGGGGCTCTGGATAGACTTTGGGACTGGTCAATTTTGTGGCACTTGCCCGTTAATTTAGCGAAATGTTCCGTTTTACGCGTTGGTCCGAATGACCCGCCGACGCGTTATCTACTTGGCGGCAACGAGGTACCGCGAGTTCAACTTCAATCTGACCTCGGTGTTTTGCTGTCATCCGACTTTAAGTCCAGTGAATACTGGACGACAGCTGCTCGCAAAGGTTTCAACATGTTGTGGATGATCCGCAGGTCATTCGGGATCATGACCACCGACATGTTCGTTGGACTATTTTCGGCTTTTGTAAGGCCGCACTTGGAACACTGCGTTCAGGCTTGTCCTACATGCCTGGTCCGGGACGAATATGGTGCACGGACTAAAGTAGCTGACGTACCCGGGGAGGCTACGTAAGTTGGATATGTTTTCCATGTATTACAGGCGGCTTCGGGGCGACTTGGTCCTCACATATCGTATATTGATGGGTCAGATTGGTCCTGATTTGACTGGACTGTTTCGCCCAACTCCAGTGCCAACCCTTCGTGCCCACCCATTAAAGTTGCACAAACCCCGGTCTGACCGGGTTTGGGCAGCTTTTCGGTTATCGCGCAGGGTCATAGCTTATTGGAACGCATTGCCTGCAGACGTCGTGATGGCACCGACAGTGAAAGAGTTCGAGCATCGACTTGACGCTGTCGGTCTGCAGTTTAAAGTCTTCCCTTCATTTCTTAAACTTTTCTTCGTCTACTACGGCCTAGGCTTCTTTAATTCATTTTAACTTACATCTTAATATTGCCTACGATATTCGATAAGCTTGTCTTCTCCTCTGTTTCCTTTCCTTTACTGACACTACTGTTTTCCTTTTATTCTTCACGTGGCCGGCACAGTGGGGAATGCTAATACAGGGCACTTGGGCATTGTTTGGTTGACCATGTGAATCGTGTGTGTTGATTTGGCTCTCCTTTGGCACATCAAGACACCGGTTTCCCTGTTGGATCAACGACATTTTCCAAGGTGGAACATTCGCGGGATTTTTCTACAGTTCCGGTCCCACTTGAACCCGAACTTGTAATGAGTGTCATCAGAAAAGAAGCTTTCGGGACGATATCGGCTATATGAAAAGCCAGTTAGCATGCCGAGGAAACGTCTCGGGATAAGGGGAACAGATTATTTGGAATGTAGGGCCTAGATCGATAACGTCTCGGTTGTCTGGGAGCAGTCAGAATCAGGAGACTGGTCAACCGAGACTAGATTAGAGCCAGGCCCGAAGAGTTATCTGTCCAATTGTGTTGCGGGCCCGTCAAAAATCCCCGCAAAAAACGCGCCAGTAACTCCGGCATAATGGCTGTGGGAAACGGAGTCCAATTTCTCCCCACAACGCAGCAGTGTTCAGCCACCCTGAGGAGCGTCCCAACTGCGAACCTTTTGACAATGCTCATGTGCAATCTACCACCTCTGCGTGGGGACTGTTTTTCCTAACTTAATAACCCATAGCACTGACTGGGATCGCCCTTTGTCGGTCGTAAAAGAGCCTACAGAGGACCACTTGTCTTTTCTTTCTCTTCGCCTCAGTTGGGAGTCGGTCGGGTCGCGTGATTGCGTGTGAATCGTTAGCTGGCCAGCCTTCGCGTCTAAGTCATTAGCGCGCGTCTATCGTACCCCCTCTTGTGTGCGTCCGTTTTCGAGGCCTCAGCGTCTATACGAACAAGTGCGGCTATGATCGTTCCCACGCTCGTTCAATTTTCCGTCTCACCGGCTAAGCTAGCGTCATCGTAGGCGTGCTCCAAACGTGCGAGCGACAATCTTGTCACGCAATTACCTCAAGAGGCGGCGTTCCCTCAATTATAACAGCGGCGACGACTAAGGCAATCTACGCAATTATAACAAATTGAAAAAGGAATGCAAACAGAGAGCACGAAAAGGAAAGAATGGGGTCGCGAAAAAAATGCTCTGCTGAGGAGAGGTGGAAAAGCCAACGATATTTCCGAGGTGATATGAACAGACCGTTAAGTCTGCCGACCTCTGATCATTAGGATCACAGTAGTCGGAAGAAAGGAGATCATTGAGCCAGGATTAGAATGTCGACTTATAGAGAGGAAGCCGTATTATTTAGGTTTAAATACTAAAGGAGAGCAGCTGCAGAATAGACATGTAAAGGAAGAAAGGGGATATAGTAATCGGGATGACTCATGACCAACAATGCTTTTGAGGTGAGGGTTACAGGGCGTTGCGTCGGCAGAGCCTAGATCATTTAGATCTCAGAAGTCTGAGGTGGGTCAGAAAGCAGAGGACCGTTGAGACGAGACCGGATAAACCAGCAATATGAAACTAGGCCGCCAAATTAAGGTGTGAAAAACAGTAATGAGTGTCATAAAAAAGAAGCTTTCGGGACGACAGCGGCTATATGAAAATCCAGTTAGCATGCTAATCTTAGGTGTATCGGCAGCAACAATCGCTTACAACATCTTATGCAAGGCTTAGGTCTGATAAGATGTCTTTACTAGGCGTATCTCAAAGGTCATAAGCCTAATATTTTTTCCACGGACCCAATGGCCTGCATTTCTCGAAATTATTTTTAACCTTTTCGTATCCCTTATAACTCCGCCACTCTTATTTCTTCCATGTGCGCACCAATAATTGCGGAGACTGAGTGAGCCAAAATAGTCCGATGAATTTAAAGTGAAATTGTGATGAATTGGATCCTGTTCCAAAGAAAACCGGCGCAACTACGGCTCTGCGCAACTTTCACAACAAAGGAAATCAAGGAGCTCAATATCGCCCGAAGGAACCAGAAGAATTTCAAGGTGGGCGCCTACGACCCCATCAGCTGTACACCAAACAATGCCAATGCATTTGTAATTGCCAACGAGGAACATATACTCATATTTTACCTACTTCCATGCAAGAGCATAGGATTAATGTAAAGATTGATCTGAACCCTTAAGGGTGCAGCCTCTAGTCAGTCTAGAAATATACCTATTTATTTATTATTATAAAGCTGAAGACAAGGAATGAAGATGTAGATAAGATGTAAGGATTGAAGTTCGCCTGCTCGGATGGCTTCGTCACTGCCCTGCAATATCCTATATGAGGAATACCTGCGGGTTTGCGAACCTGCCAGTCAGTAGGCTAGGCTGTACTGTCTTGAAAATTTTAAACATTGACGAAGTGACCATTGAAAAAGAGAAGCCGGAGGTTGTGGATACCAATTGGTCCATGCAGCCTTTGGACCAACGTGTCAGTGAGGGAACCGAAGCAAGTCAGGAACTAATCAGTAATGGTTAGCTACCTTTCTGCATTCAGAATTCTAATGTTAGCACCTGTACGATGCGTGCGACTGATCCGACTGAGACCTCCCGGGTGTTGTGATTGCGGCACTGGATAAGAAAAAACAAAGGGTTATTGATAGAGACAATTCATGGAGGTTATCCCTTTTTATCCCTTACTTTTGATGGCGTCTACTCTTTCCATAGTGCAATCATAAGGCGGAATTGTCCGTAGGAGAACTCAAGCAGATCAAGAAGAGATCGTTGAAGACTAAAGTCCACTTGTACTCGAATCGCTATTCTCAAAACCTAGAAATGAGTGCGACGGATACCGTTAAAGTCTCTTAGATATTAAGACAGTAACGACAATGAATGTGAATGAGTTGTGAGCTCAAGGGGCTTAGATGTCATGCACTACATCGTGGGCGTCCTCAAACTACGTCAGGGCCAGTTACGAAGAAGTGGTCTTACGAATCACAGATATGGAAGATGCTTTGTATATTGTCAAAATATAGGAATCGGCTTTTTTCGTTTTTCGGTGGTGGTTAAGTTGGTCACAATGTAACCATGATGTAATGAACATTACAATGTAACCATCATGAATGCAAAAATGTATGCTCATGTTACCGCATCCGAAAAACGAAGGAAACCTATTTCGCCTCATTGTCCTCAAGTTCAGCAGACAAGATCATGCCAAATGCTTTCTAAACCACAAGTTCCTTATAAGACAGCAAGCGAATCTCGGACCCATACTGAGTAAACAGGACATGACGCCACTGCAAAGGGCGCTCATGTCAAATTGGCGAACCCCAAATAAGCGGGATGTGCGCGATTCCATAACTATGAAAACGCCTCTCATCATTCCAGCCGCTATGTCTAACTACAACTTAAATATGCTCCTGAACCCTCTCAAACCGCCACTCAGACGAAACGTTACTGAATGGTCCCCAGTAACCGCTGCCACGACCTTTGCCACTGCAATTGCTAATAATACCACACATACGACACCAATGTTAGGTATGCAATTAACTAGTATGCACATGTACGCAACTCCCACAGCAAGCTCATCAATGGCTTACAACGTTGACATGGACTTGTCACAACGACAATTAGATCTTATCGCATTAGAGGTACCCGCAGGTGAAGGTCAGGCAAAAGTTACGGCCACCTCGAATGCAACCATGGACAGGACAGAATGCAGCGAAAAGCCCATCAGCGTGTCTGACCTACATGACACGTACACTGAACTCGATAGCGTGGGCTTCTTATCATCATATACTCCGTTTTCCAGTATCGTAAAAGATCTCGCGCAGCCTGACACTGACACGGTACCTAAGCCCAGATGTCCAAACCCAAGTTGTTTGATAACTGTGTCTCCTCGGCTCCCTTCAAAACCACAAAGGAATAGCAAGAATCGATGGTCAAACGCACCAAAACGACCAAGGTAACACCCCCGTGTTTATCAGACAAAACCCGCCCCCAGACTACCCATTTTAGGCCGAAGTCTAGTACAGTGACAGCCAAGGTTGATCAACCACATCGTAAGAATTACCTCCTCGTAACCCCTAGCTTAACAACGAGTAATTGAACTACGCCCAAACCCCCCTACACTGCCGGTCGATCTGCAACACCACTCTTGCAAAACCCAAAGCGATACGTCGACAGAATTAAGCACGAGAATACAGACAAGACAAATCGTCCGAACACAAGTTTGCCTCCACACTCTCGTTACGAAGCGAAGTATATTACAGCGACAGCCAGGACTGAGCGGCCGCAACGTAAGAATTACCTACTCAGAACCCCAAGCCCCGCGATGCGTAACCAGCTCCCGCACGCACTTCACTACATTACCGACCGAAATGCAATGCTGCACGGACAAAGCCCAATCAGATATGTCGTCTAGATCAACTATACAAATATAGCCAACACAACTCATCAGGGCAAAACTAGGCTTTCACCCCTTCGGTACGAAGCGAAGTCTCTTACAGCGACAACCAGGATTGAGCAGCCGCAACGTAAGAATTACCTACTCAGAACCCCAAGCCCTGCCGTGCGTCTTCAGACCCCACGCAAAAGCCAATACACTGCTGACCGAACAGCAACATCACCAGGGCGAAACACACATGGACACAACGTACTGATGAATTCCGCACGTGCCGCGCTTCCCCATCCACCACTCCAGTCAACACTCCGTCAACAACACACCATAGTGCCACGAATTATGCCGACACCTTCCACGGTCCCTATTTTATGGAACGCCGCAAGTTGCGTGCCTCCTCTCCAAGCTCGCGAGGGTCAGGCAGCGGCTCTACAAGCTGACTCGTTTCCCAGATATGTCACAACTGATTCCCAACCAACCTATCCCAGGCAATCGGACGGCTCCTCTAAACACCAACCTCACGACCGACTTCGGGTTAGATCTCTCAGCTCATATACATCATCAGTTACCTCCACATTCCTCCCCTCGGACTCGCTACTCCATACTACTCTCAGTACCCAGTAACGAAGTCCGTTCTCGCTCGCTCTTATTTTGTTCAGGCTTTTAAAGGCGTTTGGTGTCTCTAGAGTAT